TTTGGACTGATGTCTTAACACCTGCTTTTAGGCTCCTATTGCTGTTTAAAACATTGTGTTACTCGTGACATGTCATCATCTAGACACACTTCATTACCAGAAACTTGAACGCTCACACAAAACTTGCCCATCTCATCCAATCCACTATTCTGCCTATTTGTATTATATGCAAGCCCATACTACCTCAACTATTCCGTTTACTTGATTCTGCTTTATTTTTTTCATTCGTCTACCACAGTGGATTTTTCTTTCTCAGCCGGAATATTCATTGTATCATCGTTGATCGACCCACGTACTTATTTCCGAGTGTTGTGGTAACTGAACTTCCTAGTGGTATTCTCTTCGATTGCTTGGAAAAGACCTCCCAACCCTCCCCAATGTCCATTTGTTCGTTACTGCATGGCTCAGTAATTTAGTATGTGTAGGAAATGACCCACGTAACTAATACGATGCGAAATCCCACCACTTCATCGTGGTGTTGCTTTCGATCCTCGCCACCCTTAGCTGCTCGGTAGCTGATACCGCGTGAAGCATTAGAAAACTGAATCATTTTGTTTTGGTTACTCGATGTTTCCTTTCGGGCATAAGGTGCTAGCGATGAACACCCAACTTCTGACCAAATGGTCACTGCGCGCCTCGAGTTAAAGCTTTCATCCGATCACTTGTCGTTTCTGGCCCCATTAGCGCTTGCAAAAGCTGTTTGGTTATCCAGGCACCTCGTTGCGAACAAAACTTTCGGTCAACGATCGGTTGCTCCTGGTTGCAGTTACCTAGTGTGCCGTGGTGTCCCATGTGAACCACTTTCCCTAAGCAACTCGTCAGTGTCGGGACGTTGTCCCTATCCCAGTCGACAACACTGAAAAACGTTATCAGTATTGCAGCAATTCGTGATGAGGTTTCTTTTGGTTATTCACCAACAAGCCAGAAAAATAAGCTGCTCGGTCTAAGGTGTCCATTACTCCACTTTCAATGGAAAAAACGTTTCTCGTGGTTTAATAAGAATCAGTGCGAACCATATTTCCGTTACTCCGATACGTTTGAACGAATAGCTACGTCACGACCTAAACATTCCTGGTTATTCTCGATGGACTTGCGCCAGTAAACTTTTCCCATGTAAGTTGACCGGATGGCATCGCGCTGGCCCAATCGATTGTTTCCCTTTTATCGTACGATTTCTTAAGATACGTCGGGGATTGCCACGATTGATCTGTGCGAAATTGGCTTACAGGAATTATGTGACTCTTTCTTTTCCTATCTCAGTCGGCAATTGTGTGTTTAGTGTCGCTAAGCGCCGAAAGTTTGCTATTCAGAACACGCAGCCAAGGTGTGTTCTCGGTATTATTCTCTTCAGTGTTTTGCCCGGTTGGCTTTCACATTCGGATTGTTTTTCTTGCGATCACAAGACGCTTGTAGCCAAAGCGATCGTTTTGCTGTGTCCAGTTACTGCTAATGCATTTCCGATGGTGCAATTTAACTTCCGCCAGTCTGTCCTTACTTTGTCCATCGTGGACTGACAAACATCTGTTTACCAAAGTAAACCAAAGCGACAACAAGCTTGACGCGCCGTGATTCCCCAATCCAGCCGATCAGCGCCGTCCGCTTTGTTGTCCCAGTTCTACCGTCTGCCCAATGCGACGCAGTCGCCGTGTATTCGCCACTACCACACCCACACCCGATGCAGCCGTTAGGCCATCTGTAGCACGTGAGGCGACGCTCTAGCCGTAGTTTGAGTCACATGCAAAATTTCTGCCAGGCGATTGGCCGGCTCCTTCAACCAATCGTGACAGATGACCTTGTAGGTCGACGGATTTCACTGGACCAAAGCGGCGTCATTCGCTTGCCCTAGGTCTGTGGGATGTGTGGTTTTCTCACTCGTGCTTTCGTCCCATCGAGTGATCAGTGGGTTTTGTAGTAGGCGCACGGCTTTTTGCTTGCATTAGTCTATCGGCGACTCGCGCCATATGTGACCCTAGTGGGCACAATCATCCACACGGCGGAGTTATTGCTCAATATTCAATTACTCCTGTGTAACTTCGGGTCTCCCTGACATGACGCACTACCTCTATCTGGCAAAGTGTAATTCATCGAATGTGGGTGGATCTGTACGTCAGAGCATTGTCTCGCGCCACGCTGGGCACCTCATGGGATCGGCTTTCACTAATTTCCTGAAAGCGGATACTCGATTTCTCTCCTTTGGCGATTCGATTCTGCACAAGCCCTCAGGCTGCGATCCCCACGTGCCAATTTCGACACCCGCAAACCCCGTTCTGTCATACACTTCGAAGCAATCGGATTATTCTGTGTTAGATGATTCAAATGGGTACGCGGATGAAGATTCTTTTGCCACCGACGACGATGTGTCCTCCATGTACAGTTTGGGTATCACTTCAACCTCCAGTGGGTGCTCTGTTAATTACGATTCTCAATCAACTGGTTCCGACCCCACTTCTAGCTGCGCAGTGAGTCCTTTTGTTACGGTTTATCTTGTCCGCTTGCTTATGACCTCGTGTCGTTCTACGGAATTTTCATGACCGCACTCTAGCTAGATTTAACTGGCTACACTCGAATAACAGATACTTGAAATCCGTGCTGTGCTGGTTCAGGCATTCGGCTAATAGCAACTGCCCACGTTAAGGTGTCCTGGTCGTATCCCATCGTTTTTACGGTCGCTCGCATAGCAGCGATACATCTGCTATGTTCCACTCGTCATTTTCCGCGTTCCTATTCGAACACCAGTTTCTGTCAGATATATTTCAGCAGTCTACGAATAGACATTAAGCCACCAAAAAACCATGCAGATCAAAGAAAGCTACAGTTGTCAAAAAAGAAAAGGAATCAAACTCATAGAGAAATCCACGGTTTCTTCAGTAGGCACGATACTGTCCAGTTGCTCAACTCGAGGTGGGGAGTTGATTTAGGGGACACTATCCCGAGAAACTGGCTGAGTTGCTCTCTTCCGATGCAGCAGAGTGCAGCCATTGGCACCCCTCCCTACTTTTTCTGTTGCAGGCTGCTGGAATACAATGCTCCACCAGAGTGAAACAAACGGTAGTTTATTTACAATCTTTCGAAATACTGGTAGCTCGGGTTGATGAATCAATTGTTCATTTGTTCTCCGAGCTTGGCGGTTTTCTCGCAAACGTTTCACCACCATGCGATGCATTATGCATCGTCGCTAGTTTCAATGCATGTAGATGAAGAAGGACATAGCTTCGATTGGAGCAAAGCAGAAGTCCTTGCACGGGGTGAAACAAGAAAAGAAAGAGAATTCTTGGAAGCTTGGTTTTCAACAAAACATTCAATCCACATGCGCATGGACATCGATTCAGTATACGAGCCACTACGACAGAAAGACATAAAGAACCTTTTGTCACGCGGTTTGAGGCAGAACAACTCGGGCTCCGACTTTAGCCTTGGGGAAAGTGGGTAGAGGTCACGGACCTAAATCGACACTGCCACGTTCAAAGTCACCTGCAGGTCGATCATGGATGGAGGATCCATTTAGTAAACTTACACGCTACATATCACTGCACTGAGGATGCCACCTCGCATGGTGGTGAAACGTTTGCGAGTAAACCGCCAAGCTCGGAGAACAAATGAACAATTGGTAGTTTATTTCGTAGCGCCACATCTCAGTGGTATTGGACGGACATTCGTAGCATTCTATAGGGAAGACGCTTTCCAGGCGGAAATCTACCACAACTTTGGTACACTGCCACTGTATCATTTGCTGGGACAGGTTTGATCTCAGTCATCCAGCTGGCACTGCAAGGGTTGTTCGCAGAGCTAGCGCACGGGCGCGTATCCATTGAGCTTTTGTTGTTTCCGGAACTTCGGTGGTTTTTTGATAATTATTGTCTGTTGTTGACACAGCACCTACCTACCTTGTCCGCACAGATGGACAGCCAGCCGTCCGATTAAACTGTGTTTTTGGCCACTCGCAGAGGCAAAAAGTTAATTACCAGAAGTCATCCCAAATGTGTCCAATTGGGACGAATTTCGGTAACCCAAAAAACATTTTCGGTTTAGCTTAACGGCTATAGTATTGGTTAATTACAAGTAGGAATCGATTGCCGCCGAATGTTGACGATATTCACAATCAGAAAAGATGCACTTACGGTATTTGGTAAAACTACGTTGGCAAAATTAATTTGTCCTCCATAAAAGTGTCCGATTGGGACGGACGGCTGCTGAAAAATTGGTCACTCAGGGAGCTCTAACGGTCACTTTAGCGGATACGTTTTGGTCACTCGTTCTATGCGGTTAATGTACTGGACCATGTCTCACATCACGTTCGATCCGGATCACCTGCATTTGATCCATACGACTGTACTCTTAACCTCCACACCTACTTTATCATAAAATAGCATTTAGTTACATAGTTTCCGATCCATGGGCATCAATCAACTTGCAACGATTTGCGCCTTGTTACTTAGGGCACTGAGGATGGCTTTAGCCTTACAACTTGTCCCGTTATTGCGTCGTTCTACATCAGTAACTGGCAGCCTCTCCCTACCTGCAAATCTTATCAGTTCGTTAGTTGCACTCGGGTTGCTGCTTCCAGCTGTCACTTGTTTTTGTACGTTTGGCTAATGGAAGTCTACTCATTGTTGTGGTGCATGATGCCGGACGTTGTGGTTGACTCTGTCTAACGTTCGTACCCAAACCATCATGACGGTGTACTGTTACTACTGCTACCTCGCAGTATTTGCAGCACGTGTGTGTGCACGACTTGTGGATAGCCGTGTAGCAACGAAGTCTGTACGATGTACCGACGTACTGCTGATGCCTCTCTCTCTAGTGTACAGTGACCGTTTAGCCATTGTTGTGATCCCGATGCGATCTAGACAATCGTTGCTATACGACACTTACTCGGATAGCACAGCATCCTTGTTCGTAGGTGGACAGTGACGGACAGCACCTACCGCCTAGGGTGAGCGCGTGTGAGGTGCTTTTGCATTTCAGAGAAAAGACTAGGAATAAGCATTTCACTCATTCCATCCGCTTTAATAGTTTCAGCACGTTAGCACTCCGCTGAAGGGACTGAAAGCTGTCTATGGATTTACGGTCTTTGATCCGCTTGCCGAGGATATTTTATCATGAGTCCACCTATTCAGTTCTCGCCTTGATTAGCAAGCACATTAGTAGCGAGCTTACTTTTCGAGCACTTTGTATCCTAATGACGCGGTGCTCGTTGTTAGTCAACGAAACCCAGTTTCTCTCATTTGTTGTCACACCAGCATCCCTCGCATTCGGATGCACAATAGGCGTCCCTTTGTTTCAGGATAATGAGGCCGCCCTCATCGAATTCGTTCTGCGCTCCAGTTATTGTCCTGTCGCCTCATTTTTCATTCTTCTAGTGACTGACATTGACGGCGCATTTACAGAGCCGACAATCATCGTTTTCTTTGTTGGTTAGCAACCTTTTTTCGTTTGGGGACATTCGGCTGACTCCTGGACGACTGCGTATATGGTTACTCTCTCCCCTGTGGTGCTGATGACCTTAAGTCTTCGGGCTACACTCGGGTGTGCATACTTGTGATTGCTGCAATCACGACATCTGAGTCCCCCATCTCATCTCGTCAGTTAACCTTTCATGTCAGTTGTCGCGGCAGATGTCCATCAAATACTGGAACGCGCTGTCCTCACAACTTGTGGTTGGCCAGTTGCCTAACCCACGTCCCTCTCGTGCTAATTTTTGCACATTCGTGCATCAGCTGCACACAAGGACCATCTCAGACACACGCAAGTATACACCACTCCTCTGTGTGTACAGCTGATGATAGCGTTAGAATTGCTCATCGATTCGAAAAATCAATCCTGATGACAGCCTCTTTATGCGGGCCAGCGCGCGTGCGTGCGTATGCCCTGTGCACACAACACACTAGATCGATCGACTGACTAGTCGCATTATTTTAAACCCCATAGGAACTGGCGAAGCGCTGTCAGCAGTGTCGTGAGATAATCATTGCTGCGAAAGAAAAGCAAGAAGGCGAAGCGAGGAAGAATGCAAACTGCTTATTGGAGCAAATCGAACAGGAGGAGGAAGAGCGTGCCAACCGAGAAGCTATCCAAGCCCGAAAACGAGAGCGCAAACGTATGAAGAGAAAGGCAAAGCAAGAAAAAGAACGCCAGGGCAAAGAACCGATGCCGACAGAAAATCAAGTGACCCACGACGAAATGAATGGGAATATGGATCCTGTCAGTGAAAATGCGGGAGACGAACCGGACGAGCCGGATGGATCCAGGCAAGTGAATCATTTTATCATTACTCTCATCTTAATGCGGTTTATCTTTTACTGACACTTTCTTCACATCTTTGACCTTAACGGGAAACATCCTGCTTAGCCTCATATCACTCCGGTTTCATGATCTTCATCTATCTCATTGCTGTTGCGGAGCTTTCTAGTCACCCTACTCCCTCACGCGTTTCTCCATTTGAACTCAAGCAGTATTCATCACCTGTGTCTTTATTTGAAACAACATTACACTTCACCTTGGCTGCTCCGTACAGTAGGGCTCAAACCTAATCACCTTTCGCTTACGGTTCTCTGAACTCGATCCTACCCTTATAGTTTACTAGTTATTCGCGATTCTAATGTGTTTTGCCTTTCATTGTTTGTCCATGTTGTCTGATTTTCTTAATTTTCCTCCACTTTTTTTCTTATCACAGCTATGAGCGACGCAGCCCAACTTTAAGTCACGCTATCCGACATGTGCGCAAATCATCATTCGATAGTCAGCATTCGAATGACAGCATCACTGACGCTACATACGGTGCCGACAATGTTGGATCGCAATCACCGATTCTACCTAATCCTGAGAGCACAAAAGCTTCATGTTTCTCCAAAAAAAGCGAGTCACAGCCCTCAGTTGACAATGCCTCAACTGATGCCACTCCGTTAGTCCATTCGTCGGCGAGTCCTCCGGTTTCGGAGCCTACACCTCCCTTGTGTGTACCCGCAAGACAGTCCACTACTGTTGCCCCCGAATCTCCCTTACCAGATCCTTCCATTTCGCAGCCTAACCAGTCCACAGCTGCCACCACGGAAGCAAAGCGCGAAAAGCATCGAAGTAAAAAACAGAGCCAGCGTGCAGCGAAGCGAGCAGCTGCTGAAAATCATGCAGTCTCTGATCCGGAAAAGTTGGCGGCCAACTCGGTTAGTCTAAACGATGATGACTCGGCACAACTAACCCCTTCCGTTACCTCTACTTACTATCCTATGCTTCCAAACGGGAATGGTGAGTTGAGTTGGAATGCTTTAATCGAATCCCACGGTGCACAACTGAGCCAATACTTAACTAGCAGCTTGTGTGTATCCACTGGGAATGAAGCCAATTCCTGGACAACTGTACTCTCATCTGGCAACACACGTGCACAGCGCAGCACCACTCAAGGGCGGACTGGGATTGAGTCAACTGACTGGAAAACAACTTCTAATAGCTCATCATTCAAGAGGAGAATTTCTATCCCAGTTTCACGACATGACATTGGCAAAGTAATCGGTCAAGGTGGAGCAGTTGTTAGCGCTTTGCGCAATATGAGTGGCATACAGATCGATATTGAAAGTGCCCGGAGCGATGAGGTTACGGAACGGATGGTGTATTTAAAGGGACCCGGAGATGCAGTGCAACGCACGTACGAGACTATCCAGGGCCTACTAAATGGCTCAATTGCAGGCAATGACGTTCTACTCATGTATGCGGCCCTGAAAAAGTCTACTACCACAGCCAACTCAACCATTGGCAAAACGGCATTGAGTGCTCTCAGTTCTAAGGCTTTGAGTAGTGCCGCCGCAGTTACCACTGTTTCAAGCGCCTCCAAAAACCCCACCCCTGGCCCCCGGACACCTGGATCTGGAAAGTCCAGCCGAAGGATGACGAAATCGTCCACTTCTACTGCTACCACTCCTTCCGTTCCCATTCGAACCTGTTCCTCTCAGGTTGCTGCCCTACTTTTGTTGAGTCGCGCATCCAGTGTCGCCTCAAAAGCTGCATCTACTGTGACCGCCACTTGCGCGAACAGCAACAACAACAGCACTCCACACCTTGGTCCGACTGCAGCTGCTCCTTCCTGCACCTGTACAACCGCCCTGAGTACCAAAATTACTACATCCAACTCGCCAAACTGGAGTTCACGTGTGCTTGCAAGCGCCAATTCGACGAAGGGGAATTTCGCTTCCGTCGCTGCCGCTGGACTTACACCCCATTCCCGCCTTAGCACTCGGATTGGCAGTGAGAGTGCTACCACTAAGCCCAGTCAACCGATTAGTAAATATGCAGCCGTGCCAAACCTGATGCAGAATTTTCCTTCGGTCCCACCAACTACCGCTCCTGTTTCTCTTTTGTCTTTGAATATTCCTCCACTCTCCTCCAGCAGCCAGATGTTTCCCGATTTGGTAGTTTCGTTCGCCACATCCAATGATATCGCTCCTGATTCAATGGACGAAGCTAGCTTCCCTCCTTTGAACCCTAAGGTCACTCGTGCTAGTACTGTCAGTTCCACCACTGAGAAACTGGTCAATACTGCTCCGTCCACCGTTCCTGCTTCAGGCTGTGAAAGCCAAAGCGATATACCGGATGCTGACTCCATATCACAAGAGCAACGAATGGGATGCTTGTTGGAAACGGAACCATTGACAACCCCCAACACATCTTTCCAAGCAAACGGGGCTCCAACGTCTGTTCCAGAGACCCTTTCCTGTGACGTATCGCCAGCCGTATTCAAACCGCTGACAGTATCTCCCCCTGTCGGGCCGGCGATCCATGCATCTCAGCCGTCCACACCCGTTGGCTCTGGTAGCAGTCACACAACTTGTTCCGGCACACCTCCCGCCACAACTACATTAGCAAAGCCCTTCGCCCGCGCACCTGGCTCCGAGCGGAGTGCTCATCAGCGGAATGCCAATCTTAATTCATTAGCTCCGTCAGCTCCTTTGGGCGATTCATATGCTCCGTCGCTTATTCCCTTGGATGTTGGCGTCTGCACAAGCATTTCAGATTCTCATCTCCTCACTCCAACCAAGAGAGCGATTTCACCCGTAACACAGGACTCTGAGTTCCATTCTTCTAATATGTCCACCTGTTATCGAGTTGGACAGTCCTCAGAATGGCTTGAGGGTGATCCCAACTCCACTACCATCTCCCAACCATGTATGTCATTTCAGAAGACATCTGGATTTTCACTCGATCCTCGTTCAAGCACTGACGTGTCTACCAGCGCCGCTCCTGTTCACCAGCCGCTTTTGGGCAGTACTGTCACCGGTCTGAATACTACCAAGTCTCAGCATCGACCACCAGATAGCCTCCATTTATCCAATATCACTCCTTGGCCCATACCATCCACGGACCTGAATCCGAATGCATTGGCCTTCGAGCCATCAGCATTTCAAGCTCCTGGGCAGTCCTCAGTGCATCAGGTCCCTATCAATAACTTGCGGACAACCGTTGAATCTGGGGTTTCTCTTATTTCCTCTTCCATGATGCGACCCGGCTACGGAGACCTGTCCAACTCCGATCTTATTGCGAACGCACATTCTCTGGACCAAGGCCTTGTTGGAAATTTACGACAAGTAACCTCTCACGCTCCTTTGAAACCAAATGCGGCTGGTACTTCCCTACAACACTCCAGCTGTACGCCTTCATCTTTGGGCTTATCTAGCTTCTCCCAAGGCAACGCCGTAACTAACGTGGCTCGCTCAAAACCGCTACTTTCTGTTGCGCCAAACACGTTTTCGGAACCACATGTCTCTCTTTACAATGGCTACTCCAATTCAGTGAATCCGCCACACCAGCTTCATCCGTCCTTATCCACTCTTGTTGCTGGCACACAGTTTCACTCAATGTATCCGTCTTCGTCCCACCAGCAAGCGATTGGGGGGTTCAACTCTCTGACCCACCAACAAGCCTCTGCCACTTCTCGCTTAGGTACTGGCGGTTCGCCGCACCCACTCTTCAACCAGGCTCAACACGCTATGGGCTGTCCAAGTATCTCCTCCGGTTCCTATACTCCTCCACTATGCGTGTCTGGATTTATGCAACCCGGAGGCCCCGCACCAGCTCCACATTTTTCTGGGTCATTCTCCACACAGCTATTAAACGGTGAGTTGCTTCGATTTAGCGCGATTATTGTGTTCACCGTAGTTGATATGCACTCATGCCTTGACCTCTAGTTCTTCAGCATTAATTTCCTCTGGGTTTTGATTTACACGGCCTTATTTTTAGACATTAGAGGGAATTTTTGTACTTCTACTACGTTTCCTTATGACAAACCCCAAAAATGTTTTCGTATGTCAAATCCCCATACACCAGAGCATACACAGGGCAGTTTTCATTATTCACGTTCGTTTTATCCTTCTTGCTTTTCGTTTCTTTCGTGCAGCGGTTTCGTCCCTAGTAATAGCTAATTGTTTTTAGCTGTTCTGTACGTACGGTAGATCTGTACTATTTCTCAGGCAACCGCGTTAACAATTTCTCCGTAAGATCATGTTTCTCTGTAATTCACTCAAGATAGTTCGGACCTCTATCAACTTGATCCACCATGTTTGCGTGCGAGTACTCACTCTGCATCTGTGAACTATCTTTGAGGGACTTACGGAAGAATTTGTTGGTAAATACTGGATGTAAGCGGCTAAGAAATGGTATTACAGCCTTGGCTCACGTAGGTAAGACCTAAGACGCTACAAAGGGAACAGCTCAATCCATCTAGGGCAGGAACACCGCTTGCTAGATTTCTAACCATTTCTATGAGTTTAACGTAACCATCGCTCCGCAATCAGATGCGTACCAGCTCGACTCAGCATTTCAGCCATTTTCTCCATGTGGTTACCTTGTCTTGTTATCTACGGCCAAAGTATGTACAGCATCAGCCGACAGCTCATATAACTATGCGATTGGTCAACATACCGCGACTGCCGCAGGCGACATGAACGGTTGGAGTTTAACCGATGGTACAGCAGGCCAAACCCCAACTGGCGAAATTGTGTATTGCTCACACAGTATTTCTGCTGGATGTGGGTATAATTCACGTGCACTGATGATGAAAGACGATCAATCTGTTCGTACCACTAATACATAGTGATCATATCTTATCCATAAGCTAACACTGATCGTATTCACCTCTCTTTGAGTGGCCGGGACTTGCTCATTGGTGTAATTAGCTACCTAGATAATTGATGAATTTCTGTGTTTCTTCGGTACCGTTGTCTACTGTTGTTTGTAGGTATCTACTCTTGTAGCATTTCCTTGCACTCCGAAGACGCGGTACTCTTACCGAAGCACGCCGTGCTGTGTATTCCGCTCTATTCAACGGTGTTTGAGTGCTAATTGACCCGTTTCAGAGAGCGCCATGTCGTATGGGTACTTTGAGTTTTCCAGATGGTCATCCAATATACGGTCAACTCTACAACAAACGTTGATAATTCTACTGGCTATTTAATCGTTGGTTGAAGCAGAAAATGGAGAAACGATATAATTGTGCCAAATCTCTTGACGTGGTCGACTCAGAGGAAAGATTTCCGTCATCGATATGTATGGTCGCGAATGATTTTTCCAACACGCCATCCAGAGTCGGGCGTCGTCGCATGCTTGTACGAAAAGTTCGACCATGTGCTATCTTCACTTCGATAAAGGCTGCCATGAGTTCTACTATACCATGAGTACCAGTTACCCTGCGGCGCTGGAATTTATTGAGCTGTTTAAAGGCGATGAAAATGTGACCAGGTCAGCTAGTGGTCGAATGTCTCAAGACGTCCACAAGTCGCCGGTTCGCAAATGCGTAGCGGACCGAGCGACCTTCACAGTATCCTTAGCCCGCGCACGACTGGCGGTGGTTGCGTGACAGCGAAGAGTCAGTATTGCGTACCGGCATGCTGCTGATGCCACACGATTACCAGTGGTCATGTGGTAGAGAAGCTTTGATTCAACGTACATTACGGTTGTGTGACCAATCCCTTGCGGATAGTAGCAACGATCGATGATTGTATTTGGGCACTTTCTCATTGTTAACATCACGTGTCTTCAAGTGGCCCAACTGACAATAGCATACTTAGCGACACTTGATCTGACGTGACTTGAAGGACATCAACAGTACGCCGGTACCGACACTTTGTTGCCGCGCAATCACTACCTGTCCCACATGAGCTAAGATTACTGCGAGGGTCGCCCAGTCCACACGCAGGCTAGAACCCCCCACCCCTGGGTTACAAGCCAGGCTTGGGATCCTTAAGGTTACAGGTCGACGTGATTGAGTGGCTTTATTTCCCTTGTTCCTCTATCATTTTCTCATTTACCGCAGCTGTCCTGCTTGGTTGTGTTCTTAAGAGAACCCAAAGTGACTTACGACCTGCGATCCTTTATACACCCGTACTTCTTACTATTCACCATAGGTGTGACAACTGCCTATTTATTTCCATTTTGACACTTCTCAGGCTTCAGTTGTCTAGAGCTTATCCCAAACGACTTTCTCCTAAACAGCCTTGCTCTCGGTCGCCGTTTCGTACCATAGGTCTACCCTCGAAGTCGAATCGCATCAAGGTTAGTTCTTCCCCATAGCTTTGGCTGATCTTCAGAGATTGCTAGTCACGTGCAGGTTCTTAGGACAATCCAGAACATTCGGAATCGATGCGATACTCGTTAGCAATCGATCAATCGCTTGAAATAATGGATTTTCCAGGTAATTATTAATTTCGCCCGGACACCCCTTTCAAGATAAGCTCTATGGTATATGAAGAAAGTCTGGGATTCACTGGTAGTCTTCTGGACGGTGTTTGAATTCTGTCGGTCCATCGCCTCGGCTGAAGTGCGCGAGAAAAAGCTCCCGGGGTCTGTCGTGCATTTTCGTCACTGGATTGACAGCCATCGTCCATAGGCTTCCTTGGCAGGTTGAAGCTCTCTACTAACAAGTCAAACGAAAGCTTGGCAGGCTTTACTTTCTCTGGTTGGCACAGCCTTAGCCGTAACTGGTTTGTATGGGAAACCTAGGTCATTCCCGCGCTCGCCTTTGATCGTACCAGGCGTACACTTTGCGTGACTTGATACTCCCGCACTATCTCTCTCTGCCCTGGTACTAACAATTGTTGCTTAGACCCTTGCCACCGGTTAAGATCCCATTCTGCGGTTCCTTTCGCCAACAGTGGGCAGCGTGCTCGGTCAAACGGCATTTAATGGCATACGCAGCTTTCTGTTTATCATAGCCTGCCAAAACTCCACCCGGCACTTGTGGATTTGGTATTGATCAGTATAGGAAGAGGAATCAGTCAATCACCTCTATACGTCACTCCCATTTCGCTTGAAAGTATCCACGAATCTCTGCCTGGCCATTCGATGGTGGGTGAAACGGCGGTAAGCGGATGTGCTGGACGGCGCATTGTCTGCAGAACTCCGCGAAAATGCCGAGGTGCACTGTATGCAAGTTACAAGTGTTTCTGGACGACTGAATCTAGCCAAGATTTGCCGTAGTTTTGTTACGGTGGCTTGCGTCGATGTGCTGTTCATCGGAAACACTTCAGACCATTTGCTGTAAGAGTCGACAGCAATGCGAACACTTTGGCCCTTGATCGGTCCTGAGAAATCCACTTGACACAGCACCATGGTCTCGTTGATTTCGGCCATGAATAGAGTTCCGTCTTTTCTGGTGCCCTTGAAGCCGCAGCGCACTTGTGACAACTCTTGACCATTTCTTCCAGTGGTCTGTCCATGAATGGCCGGTACACAAAGCTTCGGTCAAGCGCCTTCATCCGGTTGACCCCGAGATATTCTGCATGGAACTCCGTATGTACAAGCTTTTGTAGTGCCTTGGAGATGACAACTCATTCCGAGAACAGAATGCAGCCGTCAACGATGGAGATTCTATGCCACCTTTGGTAGTACTGCTGCGATTCGGCTGATAAGCATGTGTGGCCAATTCGTCCTGTTTAGTTGTGCGACTATCTTGAGTACAGGATCACGAAGGCTTTCTGTTCATACAGCTTCTGCAGCCACTGGTAGGTCACGTAATTTGTCACTTACAAGAAATCTGACGTCCGGTTCAAGCTCAACTACGGCTATGATCTTGATGATGGGAGTCTGTCAGGCGTGACATTGCGTCCACTTGACCTATGGAAGCGGTTGTTTGGTAGCTTATCTCGAAATCAAAGCTCAACAGACTGAGCGCCTAGCGTTGGAGACGATTAGCCGTGTAGGCAGGGATGCCTTTCTTCCAGCCGAAGATGACCAGCAATGGTTTGTGATCAGTCAGTACTTTGAATCGACGGAATTTCTTCACTCCAAAGATTATGGCCAATGCTTCCTTTTTGATCTGACTATAATTACTCTCGGCTTTTGTCAAAGTCCTGACTGCGTGGACGATCGCTTTCTGGGATCTATCCGGGTACAGATACGAAATAATTGCTCCGACCCCATAATTTGATTCATCCGTTGCCAGAATATTCTTCCGAGTTGGGTCATAATGAGTCAGCAACAAGTCAGAGGCCAGTAATGGCTTGATTCGTCCAAAGGTACGCCGACACTCGCTTCCAGTTCCAAGTGTGGTTTTTGGTCAAAAGCTTGCTCAGCGGGGCACGCAGGCGATGCAGCTCAGGCAAAAATCCTCTGTAATGACTAATGAGACCACGGAAGGAACGTAGCGATTGAATATCTACTGGTAGAAGCATCTACCTTCTTGCTTCGATGTTTGCCGGATCTGGTTGACGGTCATTCTTTTCAAGGATAAAACCAAGGTATTTGATGGTCGGAGTGAAGAAAGTACATTTGTCTTCACGAATCCGGAAACCATAAGACGATACGACCGAGAACCTCCTTCAAGCGGTTAAAATTTTCTCCGCTGTTCGGTCCATTACGATGATGTCATCCAGATATGCGGCGGCTCCATAAATTCTTGCCAACATGGTATCCGTCAGCTGTTGACAAACGCCTGTTGCCGTTTTTACGTTAAAAGGCAAGCGGTTGTACTGGTACAGCCCACGCTGGGGTTTGATCGTCAATAACTTCTTCGTGTCCTCGGCAACATCTGCCTGAAGGTATGCATCAGACATGTCAAGCTTGGCAAAGCACTTGCCACCATTCAATTTTGCGAACATGTCTTTCGGTAATGACAATGGGTATTGGTGGTCGTCAAGCGCAGCGTTAAGACCAGTTGAGAAATCTGCGCACACGCGCACTTTGCCATTCGCTTTCTCTACTGCGACAATGGGTGCGGCCCATGAGGCGTACTTTACAGGTGTGATGACTCAAGTTCGTTCTAATCGCTCCAGCTCTTGCTCAACGATTGGCATCGCTTCATCCGAGACCGGACGTTTAGCTTTAAAGACTGGCTTGTCTCCTGGTTGCAAGGACAGCGTCGCTGTGAATTTGGCACAATGGCCTAAGCCATCCTGAAATAGGGTCCAATATTTGTTACAGCAAATGTTGATGCGTCTGAATTCGCTCGAATTCTCTTGCAAATCTGACTCACTGGAATATCGAGCAGTCGCAACTTTTCAATCCAGTCTAACCCAAGAAGGTTCAGCTTTAGCCTACCTAACATGTAAATCGTCTCCGTTTCTTCCACACCGTCGAATGCCATCGTGCAAGTAATTTCTTCGATTAAGTTTAGCACACCTCTGGATGCGTTGTGGGCTAGTCTGTGAGACTTGATCACCGTCCGCCTCTCCAGGTGATTCCAGGTGTTCTTGGAAATGATTGTGATGTCTGAGGCCGTGTCAAATTGCAACGTTGTTGGAATACCATGGAACACGATAGTGAATCGTCGTCGTGGCTGAGGTTCACTTTGAAATGCGGTAATTGCCGAAAGTGATTCTGCACCATGCTTTCGAGAGTTCTTCGAGGAGTAGGACTTCTTCGTGTTCTTTGACCGGGCCTGGCTGCACTTTTCGCAGATGTGATCTTTGAAAGGGCAGAACCACGCAAAATGCCATTCGCCGCACAACCAGCATACTGCAGGTGGCTTGTTCAGAGCCTTTCAGATGGCATTCCCGGCATAGTCACTGAATTTTAAGTGTTCGCTCGTGCCGAGCTTGCGGAGTAACAAACGCACTTTCCAGGGATCGTCCTGACGATTGAAGTCCGTCCGGAACCTATCTTCCCAACCTTTGAATCATGCTTCAAAAGTGCGACCGTAATCTGCGTCATAATTAAATTCACTGATTGCATTAGTGAGGTCAACAGAATTTGCCTGCGTGTCCCGTACTGATGCTCCTGCAGACTGCAAACGCAAACAATTCTTCAAATTTTCCATCCTTTTCATCTGAGCTTCCATTTAGGATTGCTGTTGCAAAAGCAGCTTCTGAAATACTTCGACAGGAAAATTCACATTTCCAGTTTTGTCCGTCGCTATTTGTTCAATCTTCTCATTTGCTGCAATTCCGAAATACGCACCTAATCTATTTCCCACGATCTCAAACCCAAACAACGTAAAAGGTCAAATCGACCCTGTTCAAAGTAACGTGTTAACCCAGTCAAACTGGAGCTGTACAAATGCGGCAGATCATGGTCATATTTATAGGTCTCCTCATGACATTCGACTTCCGGAATTAGGTCAGCTACTAAGGTTACTTGTTCCCCATAACTTTGACCGATCTTCAGGAGGTTGCTATTCACGTGCAGATTCTTAGAACATTCCAGAACATTCGGAATCGATCCGATAATCGTTAGCAATCTATCAATCGCTGAAATACTGGATTTTCCACGTAGTTCTTACTTTCTCTCATACAATCCAGCTGACTTTTAACCGATGTACATCTCGAAGTAGCGTAGCATTTTTACCGTGCCGACGTACTGACAACATTTCTTCTCTCTGCATACTGAGAGCGATTTTGGTCACTCGAAATGGCGCGACCCTTGGTTTCTGCATCTCCAGCGGCTTAGGAGTGTAAGTTTTGCTTCTGTGATCCTATCACGGAGACCTCAGATGCACTTCGACGCTACTGGCTATGCATACGTGGGCGATGCGGTGAGCCTCAGCTACAGGAGAGTGTATTATCACAGCACACGGGCCGCATGTCGATGTAACAAAGGTGGAGTGGTACTACCGGTTTTAAAGATAACATACTTACCTTGTCACTGTGTTCAGCGGATGCCGAGGCTACTCTTGCTTGATAACCTGAGTTAGAAAGAAGCGTGGACTACAGGGCTCTGTGGAGCCGCTTCGCCGGGATGCTTTTTGCTTATGAGCACCAGCTTTTAACCCGTGATTCAATAGTCCTACGCGCAATGCAGTAGGTCAGACAGAGCTTCACTTATTCAGATCACACTATTTGCTCCAATAATCTAGTCTACGCCACATTGGGGAATGTTGCTGCAAAATCCCAAAGATATTTTGTGATACGCCGTATGTAGCTCTGAAATACTCAGAGCGCTTTATCTGCTTCTTGCTACCGGTGATACATTCACGACAAAGGTCAGCTGCAAGGGATTTTGTTTAGTTTGGACCTTGGTATCCAGTTATATCTTTTGCGACAGGGAGCAAGAGTTGTGTTGCCTCATCGCCAAAAGCAATCCATGGTTCTACACCTCTAGTTGTTCCATTTTTCTAGTCCCTGAACAGCATTAAACGAAATTTCTTGTTAGCGATTCCTGATTGTCCATTTCCCCCCAGTGGTTTTTTCTAATATTCCAACCTCAGGGTTGCCGTTAGCTTTGGTGTTAAATGCAGACCACATCACCCCGTTAATTTGATGCGGCTTGATTGCTCGATCATTATCGATCTGTCATGATCAACGTTTTTTTCTGTGCTTGGTGCTACTGGGGAGTGGTGTTCCATTCCCTCAGAGCTCTCTGTTAACCTCGCGCCGAGTTCCCGCCTTGCCTACTTATTGGGCTCGATGAATTTTTTCCACCGTGGGATTGTGTAGAATCTGTTACTAGTCATGCTCTCTGAAGCTTTACCATATGAGGTATAACATTGTGCTACTCTCGGTCCTTTTTTCCAGGGGGTGGCTCCACTATTCCGGTTCTGAGCGGTGGGTCCTTGTTGAATAGTTCCCCCAGTGTGCCGCAATCCTCTGTTCAATCGGCACCCATCCAGCCAATCGGTGCTGAAAGGCGAAGACAAGCCACAACTGCGCTAGCTTCAACTGTTTCCACTTCGCAACCTACAGTTTATCCCACTCCAACCAACAATACTACCGGTCCCGGGCCTTATGGATTCGGCTCTGCTAGTCTAACGAACTCGACCGCTACGGTTCAGCCTCAGGCTCCTTCTCAGCAACCGTCTAATCCAAATTTGTTCATGCTCATGAATTTAATGCAACAGCAACAGCAGCACTTGGGTCTTGCTGCACCCGCTTCTCACGCATCCGCCAATTGGCAGTCCCCTCCTTGGCCGACCAATAATGTGGCAAGCAATTTCTCTACCTCAATGGCCAATGCCGGTAATGCACCTCCTGGTAAACTGACAACTAGTGAACTGGCCGATTTTGGTGCTTATACCAGCTCGAACTTCCTCCAGGGCGGTTTATCTTCCAGCAGTGCCACCAGTCAGCAACAACAACTTGTCGCTGCAATGGCCGCAATCGGCATGTGCCCTTGGAATGGCAATGGATCCACCAATTCAGGTTTGGTGGCTCCAATGTCAGCGAGCTCACTGCCTCCTGGATCTGGCGGACCGAACCGATGGGTTTACCCACCACAAGGAAATTCCGCATTTGCAAGCGCTAGTCTTACTGCGCAAGCTTATTTCCAAGATCAACTAGCTCCAACCTTGAAGGCCTCTAGTGTCCCTCCACATCACTCCCAATCGACCCACAGGCCTCGTGAATAAGCTCTTTGCTGCCGTTTTCTCACCCATTCTGCTCGGGACCTGTACTTATAACAGTAGTGAGCACGCGTCTTTCTGCGTTCGGTATGAAGTTTGCCTTTTGAACTTTTTACGCGGTGGCTTAACTATCCAACCATCCAATCGTGGCTCAGTGCTCTCGATTCACTATGCGCTTCAGTGGACCCCATACATGCACTTCCTTTCTGTTCCACAATTTGCGTTGCCTGTTCTCTCTTCGCTCCCGCTTGTTTTCTTCTGGCGTGTGCTTTTATGTATTTAAATTGCTGCATATTTTTTCATGGTCCTTTCCCGGTTTTTGGAGCGAAGTGTCGATCCCGGGCATCGCAAATTTTGTTCCTGTGGTTCAACTCCACTCCTTCCCTCTCCGCACATTCTTCATGTGTTAATCTTTTCTCACCTGAATCTCTTTATTACAAACAAACTTCCAAGGTTATGGCCTCAATTTTGCGATGAGGGTATTTTATTTCGTTCTTCTGTTTATTGAATTCCTTAGTTTTCTCGCGAACGCATTTCTTGCATCCAACCTGGCTAACACCCGTGCATACTGCCTTACTGCTGTCCGCTACTATCCCCCTATTTTGCACAAGCCATAATGAGTTTTTCTAACACGACTGTGCTATGTGATTGTCAAACGTTGCCATCACTGACTTCAGGCTGTTGTGTTCGCATTAGAACTTCATTTTGGGTTTTCATTATTATTACTGCCTTTGTTCTTCTGGTCCTTGATTGTTTGTTTCGTCGTCCTGGTGCTCCTCCAGTTCCGCGTTCTTTTTTTCATTCTCCCGCCCAGGCGCTTTTTTCAGTGCCTCAGTCTCCTGTGCGCATGCTTCTGTGACTCGAAACCGCGGTTGGATTTCATCCAGCTTCCTCTGCTGCGGCCCGAATCTACGACTCTGGGGCCAATGGTGGTAGATCCTTTCAGCGAAGCTGCGCCACGGAGATGTAGTTGCAAACAAGCTGCTCTTACGTTGCTGATCGGTTGACATTCGCTAATCTTTCACCATCACCATTTTGCCCCTGCATCACCACGATTTAGCATCGAGTCCACACCTAGCCCTGTGTACCCCCAGGCTTTCAGGTCGATTCGGCCCTGTATCTGCCCTCATGTCTTCTATCCCCACTCCCGCCGCCGTCCTCTGTGTGAAGTTGTTCTAGCAGCGTGATTCGCTTGAACCACTTCGGGCCTGTTGATTAGTATGCGCCTAGTTTGTCCCTGGCCGGTCAACTGGTTGGTGGCGCTCCCTCGTCATTGTATTGTATTGTATCATAGATCAAGCACTATTTGTGACGTTCTCTCTTAGACAACAATATACGGGATTCTAACTGCCACCTTCTCATAACGGCCATAACTAGCTCAGTCATCGGTGAGATCACGTTTCTATCCGCTGCCGTCTGATAATTGTGTTGCGAAGGTGTTCACATTTTCATTCATTACAGTCTTCTGTGCGAAATGCTGATCCCTCTAGTGTCTCAAGTTTGTCGTTTTGTGACTAAGGAGAATTTCCCGCGTTCTTGACCTGTTCACTTCGTTTCTGCCGTCTTCGTTTAGTTATGTTGCTGCATGTTTCCGAGCAGTTAGGATGCGTTAGGTTGTTGCTTTTAGGAACGAACGAGCTATTAACTATTTACACTATTTTATCGACCAGTGGTGAAGGAGTTCACATAGTTATGCGCATCGTTGTTTCTCAATCGACTTTTCTCTCGGATCTCACCTACCGGACCATGAAATTCTTGCTTCGACAATTTCTAGTTTGTTCGTCGATTTTCTGCCTTTGCTCCGGTTTTTTTGGTTTTCTTTGATGAAACTCGCAACGCCTCCAACTGAACATATCAGTGCTTCTTCAGCGTCACAATTGACGCCGTTTGAAATTTTGATCAGCTGAGCAATGTGAGCGGTCTTCGATTTGACATTCAGTCCATCTTCCATTACCATCCAACCTTTAGATCAATGATTATGTTGGGGGTACTGATTGTCCAAGTAGTGTGTTGCGGAGGAAGTTCCCTGTCACCTTACTTGGGCCAAACTCGGACCCAGATTTACACCCGCCTCGCGTCAACGTTGCTTGGCGTATTGTCGCCACCTACCGTCCATTCAGAGTGCTTCCTTTGTTTTGTCGTTGTCTGCAACTCATTTAAGGAAGCAAGATACTATTCGTCTGATGGTTTTGTTTTGCTCCAAGTGCTACAGCATGGTTCCATCGTTCATGGTTGTTGTTTTTCGAAGAACGGTTTTCCGCAGGCTCATTGGCGTTAATCTTTCTCATTTCCATTGGGATTCAAGGTCGCTGAGCATCCCATCATATGTTTTGGTTCACTTAGCGGATGAACTGCGTGTCAGATCTTCCTCTCCGCTATGTATTACAGCAGCTAAGGCCATTTACTTATCTAGGGGAGCTGTTATATGAGCTCATCGCTACACATGAGTTGTACTTGCTCAAATCTGTTTCCTTTTTTCTCCAACTTGCCATCTGGCAGATCATGAATGACTACTCCACCGGCGTCTGGTTTGAGGTTCTAGAGGACTACTGAGAGGTAACAGACTACAATCCTTGTAGAATTGCATCCGTTCCATGTACATTGCCACTACTGTCTTTTCTGGTAGGTGTGTTCTTAAATATCGAGTGCGCCCCACTATGGTTATTAAATTAGCTGCGCCATGTGTTGGCCACTTCGTTGCGCACAAATACGGCCGGGCCAGGTGAATGTTGAGCAAGCATGTGAATTCCTTGCCCGTAAGTTGTGCAATTCAGCAATCGATGATCTATCAGGCTTGAAATTCATTTGACTTACGTGCTCATTATTAGGATATTGCTCTCGTACACGAGCAATAATCTGGCAGTGAACAAAACAGCCAGTCGTGTGATAGACATTGTTTGCACGCACGGGCGACCATAAAGCAAAACTGTCCTTTTTTGTGGCTTCGTTATGCCACAGAATGGCCTAGGTCATGTCGACACCAGAAGTGGCGAAAGTTATCAAAAATGGTTTGAGCCGTCGAAATGCGTGGATGTTTCATCTGTCGAGGCACTAAATTTAAGATGGCTTAACATACACAAACTTGCTGAACACTTCAAATTGAGTAGGCCGAAAAGACTGGTGTCAAGGCAGCTTCCAAACATGGCGCCACCCGCTCACCATACCGACGCTTCGCTGCCACACAACCACCACCAGTCGCGCCTGAACTAAGGATACTGCGAGTGTCGCCCGGTCTCCTACGAAGGCTCTAACTCGCGACCTCCGGGTTGTAGGGCGGACCTCTTGTCCTTTCGGCAACGATCGTTTCTAAGTGGACAGTGAACATACCCAATTTATGCCGTATCCTCTGAGTAGCCGGCGAATGATTATACAACATTTATCGGTGGTGCGTGGTTTATATGTTCCGTTTATAATAACCGGGTTTCCTAACGGACAAGGCACCTACTTTACAACCCTGACGGTACGACGTACCGGCATATTGCTTTGTAATACCCGTGTCACCAGTTTGTGCCTGTGTGGGTACACCGGGGGCCTTGTGGCCTCACGGCCATGTGTACGCGCTGATAGTTGCACGGTGGTGGAACGTTGGCATGCAGCTCAGGCGTACCATTGATACCATCCATCGGAAGCATTGGGCTCACAGTTTCCTCATGCATTTCTCAGGGTGTCATCCGCGACGAATTCGAATAGGAGGGCGCTGCTGAACGACCATGTCAATCGTCTTCGTATTCGGGGCAAAATATTACCTCGCACTTACTCGCTAACCGACCACTCCTCAACACTCAGGTAACCGATCCAGTTGCAATTCGTATTTCTTAGAAGGTAACGAACGTCTAATGGGGCAGTTCATAAATATGTTATCGGAGAAGCTCTACATCGAGCGACACCCTTCTCGTTCCTCACGTGTGCTGTTAGCGTACTCTGTTGAGTCCACGTGTGTTTACGGGCGTTGAGCACTTCTGATACATCAGATGAAACGGTCACCTCGATGGTGACGCATTCTTCGGTTGCTCTTTCGACCACTTACTCCGTATCCTCTAAGCTTCACTCGAGAGGGGTACCTTTGTGTGTGTACCCTTGTGTTCTAAATGTCTTGAATAAGGGAACTAATCACTTATTGGGGTGGCCCTTATATTTGAGAAGGTCCTGTGGGGTCTCATCTGGCCAAAGGTGGTGCGTATAAGAAACCTCAGTCTCATCTGGCGATGCAGCGTCCACACAATGAGGCATAAAAAGTCATCAGCAGTACCGACGCTTCGTTGCCGCACAACCACTACCAGTCACGCGCTAGTTAAGGCTACTGCGATCATCGTCCGGTCCCCTACGCAGGATCGAAGCCGCGACCTTATGATTACAAGGCAGGCTTGTGCTACTTAAGGCCACGTGGCCACATAGTGAGGACAACTATTGGTGCCTGAAATGCAGGTCTGGTGGTTGTGACCGAATGTGAACTGGCCGTCCTCTGTCTTACACTGGCTCGCAGTCCACGTGAAGTGCATTCCCAGTGGTTGGAACTCTTAGAGGATATGGCCCGCAATAGGAGTCAGTGGCGTCAATGCTGTTCTACCATCCCTTCATCCAGTACTTTTTAATGTTGAACAAAACATGAAAAATAATCAAAACGGCGTGTGTGAAACTGAAACAACGTTTTTCTAACGTTTTACTTTCACGTTGAACATTACATTCTCCTTTCCCTACCACCATGGTTCGGATGGCACATTCGTCTGTTGACGGACTTTTTAATAAATATATATATCACAGTCGGCTTTCCGCTGCTGGGCGATGTGATCATTAGGGAGGGTCGATGGAACTTTCTCGAAGTGGTCACCTCAAGGTTACGCAGCTTGCCACACGGGTTGGGCCGATGCACCAACAGTTCTCGCCATCATTGGGCGACCACTGGCGGTGGTCAGTCGATGCGCTTCGGTTTTCCTTCGTCCGAATCGCAACCTTCTGGGGCATAAGACTGCTGAGTTTTATGTCGCACCTTTTGAAGGGATTCTCACTTATTGCTGGTATAAGGCTTTTCACCATTTGGTGATCACACCATCTATGTTGTTGACCTGCACCTACGTAGCTTTTCTAGATCTCATCTGTGTCGAGATTATAGTGCACACCACCAGTGCAACCAGCATGGCTGTGTAGATTAGCGATATGACAGCTGCGCGTCTTGGTTTAGTCTTGTCCAGCCTTTGGCCCCCTTATTACGTCACTCGTATCCGATGAAATTACCGAGTGGATAACGCGCGTTTGATTCACTGGTTTACACTTGGTAACTGGCTTTCAGACGCCACAGTGGTTCTTCGATTGACTGGATCGTCTACTTTTGCCTAGAGTCGTTGCCCTAATCCCAGTTTATCACCTACATTTAGGTGCTTTGCTATTAAAACATTCGGTTGTTTGAAGCCTCAGTGCGGCGGATGTCAACAGGAGGCATGAAGGAATTGTCTGGGGAGTTGATTCAACTCACATTTCTGCAAACAAGCCCCGGGATCGACCACAGGTGCAAAGCTACATTAGTTCTATTCTGCTAAACTCGGTGCTTGCGCGCCATTTCCTTCGCGCTTTGACTTTTTTCTCTTCCTATCACTCGCATTGCTATTATTGTAGCAGCTGAATCCATTGCAATTCAGTGTTCGTGTCATTGTTTGTCGACTGAAATGCTTGGGTTTGCTGGTTCGGAGTAAACGTAGTAATTCTTATAACCACGCAGCGTCCATCATGATTTCCGTTTTTTGGTTGGGCCCGTAAGTTAGCTGCATATAGCATTGCTACTTTAAAACTTTGCTGCTTCGCACAATCCTCTATGAGACCGTATTTTCTGTACTCTGGACCGCGCAGGTAAGACGAACGTCAAGTCGCTCCCTTCTCTGTCATTGCCCTCAAGGACGAGTCAAGACCTAAGATCGAGTTGCAGTTTCTGTTGTTGCCCATGGTCAGTCATGTTCCTTTGTCTCGACTCTTCAACAGCTACGCACTACGAGCTCTACAATAAACCTGGAGAATTTCACCCCTTTTTATATCATCATTGGTGATCTTTGAACTGTCTGATGACACTGCTTCCCCTTCTCTTGTGGCGCATGTGTCGATAGCATATGCCTTCCAGCTTGCCATCATTGCAGCACTTTTGACTCAGTGGCACTTCTTGAGCACTATCTTTGATGTTCTGAGGGTGCTGAAATCTTGTTTTCGGTTAAGTAGATCTCTGTCTCTTTAAGCTGCTGTATCTGCACCAAATCATCCTCCGAGGGCCTTTTCGGTGCAGTGCACATTATCGTGGGTCAGCTTCTGTCGTATTTTCTCCTCATTAGCGCTTTGCCATCCGTAGTCATTGATGATGTTTCTTGCCGTGTTGTGGTTAACCAGTGACTTGAGCATCCTCGCAGATGGTTTTCCGTCGACGGGCACAATTTTGCTAAAAATCTCTACTCTAAGGGCATTAGCGTGCGCCGTCACTGTCTCTTAGACGTAC